TTCTAACACAAAACAGGAAAGCATGTTCTTTATCATAAATTATGATTATTAAATGATATCAAATATTATGTCATCATTATCATAGACAACATTTTATTTAATGGTTAATAGACTTAAAAAGGCTCTAATAATCAATATGTCCCGAGTTTGTTCTGTGGTATTTTCCTTCTTTGTGTGGAGCAACTCACATTAACTTTTCTGTGCTAAGTAAATGTTGAAACTGTCAGTTGAGAATTTCGGGGATGAACACACTGCAATGATCACTTGAATCAAACCAAGAAGCAAAACTTGTCTGAAAAAATGTCTACTGACATATAAACCCTTGTTCACTGCTGAAAGACAACCTCACGAAGCCAGAAAATATGTCGCATACCATGTGTCTGGAGGGAGATGGGGTGCTATTTCTAGAGGACGAAAAGATCATTTTTCAAAGTCGTTTTCTGAAATGATTGTGCCTCTGTTGATGGATCACATCACAGTTATTCTTTGAAGCTTTAAAAATAAGTGAGAACTTATGAGAAAAAAATTTTTAAGTGTGACCGCTGTGTTGGCGATTCTTGGAAAGATTTCCCTCCCTTGCTTTCCAGAACTCAGCTGAGTAGGTGTTCCGACTTTATCTGTTGCAGACTGTAGCCGCTGTTAACTCCCCCATCCCCACCTCCCAGGAGTCGGTTTTCCAGCTTCCAGAGGTAAGGCCACTCCTCCCTCCCGCCCACCTCACCTCCCAAAGGAAGAAAAATCTCTTTCAAAGAACTTGGAGAGTGGTAGCTTCTAAACTCAGGCAATTCACTCACACTCCTCGATTTTATAGTACATCTGCTATATTATAACTAGGAGCACGTAAGATGCCCAGCAAACTAGAGGGATTTCCATAGGAACCTCTTCCGTTCCCTCTCATGCGGTGGGTTTCATTATTTGGGCCGTCCCTGAGCTGGCTAACTTCACCTCCGCGTGTGCCCAAGTTGTTGACTGCGCGCTAGACTATGGACCGACCTCCAGTGCACAGTGCCAGAGAGATCCGCGAGTGCCTTGGGGGTAAGACCTCAACTAAGAAGGCTGTTAGAAAAGCCCTTAGCGTGCTTGCTAAACGGAAGAAACAAACCTGTTACCGGCCCATAGCGACCATAGTAGGAAGTATCCCATAGGGTTTCCAAGGAGCGACTGGTGGATTCGAACTGCCGACCTTTTAAGTAGTAGCCGAGCGCTTAACCACTGTGCCAAGCTGGGTCAAACTACCAGAAGGGAGGAAGTAGCCTATCATATGCTCAGCTCCTCAGATTGGGCTATCTTGGAGAAATGCCTAGGAGTTTGGGAGAAAGTTTGGGCTGATGTCTTTGCTTGTGACGTCCTAAACGCCAATCCAAATAAGGACTTTAACAATCTGACTTCGAAAATCGGAAAGAAGTGGTGGCTTGGGGAGTGATTCCTTAGACGGTTTACACGTGCCAAAACCCCAAGACTGCGAGGAGGCCAGCCCTGCGCCCAGCTGTCGCTGGGGCGGCTTCTCCTCCTCCCCGTGCTTCCCTAGAGGCAGGGGTCGGAGCAGACCTGGAAAAGAAGAACAGGCTAAAGTGACAAAAGAAGAAACATTCTAGTCTCGCTGAACCCCAGCAGCTCAGTTGGATATCTTGGAGCTGTGGGCGCCCGCACAGACGGAAGGATCCCGCCTTCGCCTTCTGAGGCGGCAAACAAGGCGGGGGAGGCAGCTGCGGAGAAACAAAGGTGCCTCATTTACAAAGCACTGGAACGCGCAGCTCCTCGAAGCGCGAGCGCTCGGGGAGAGGCCTGCCTGGGGGCGTCGCAGACTGTTCGCCGGAAAAAGCCTGCCCGAGGACGTCTACTTTGTCTACTTTGTCTACTTTGGGTGAGGGATTAACCCTTTAACTGTCCGAGATGCACCTTGCGCCCCAACAACAGGCTTGATGCGTTGGCGCAGGGGAGAAGCGAGGCTCTACAGATCCAACATAGTAGGCGGAGAAACCGCCGCCAGGAAGTGACCCTCGACTGACCCTCAGGTCGCTTCCTCCCCAGCCCCAAGCTGCCTTAAAAGCTCTGGAAGAGCGGCCAGGGGTCGACGCGGTATTCCACGGGAGGCCTTCTCGCGGGGATGTTTGCTAAGCGGCCGGGGAGGAGCAGGCCCCAGGTGCGCGGGCCGGGCGGGGCGGGGAGCGCCCAGACCGAGGCGCTCCTGGGCGACAAGAAGTTTCCTTGGGCACTAGAGAGTTCTTTTTGCCAAAGTCTCGGACTCGCTTTGCGAGAGCTCCTTTGCTGCTTCCACTGTGTGTGCGCTTGTGCAGGCGGAAGACCGGCAGGGGAAAGGAGGAACGGGACGAGGGTCGGCACCGTGAGCGTGGCTGCTCCTGGCTCCACGACGGTGATAGGAGGACTCAGGGTCGAGTCACAGCCATTTTGGGAGGGGGGAGGGAGAACAACACCGAGCTCTTTACAGTGGATTTCCGCCACCAACGGGGAAGGGGGGCTGGGGCGGCCGCCGGACTCGGCTCCGCGGTTGCCATAGCGCCGCGGCGGAGGCGGCGGGCGGCTCTTTGCCTGGCGAGGGGCGGGAGGGGAGCGCTCGGTGCCGCCTCCCTAGCAGACGCGGCTTGTCTCAACCAGCACGAGGCTGCTCCTGGCCACCCAGGGGCAGCTGCTCCGCAAGCAACTCCATCCCCTTAAGGCAGGGGGCCAGGGATGAGGTTCTGGTTCGCCTTTTGATCCAAAGTTGAAAAATAACCTCTCTCAAGAGCGGCTTATAATACGCACTCAACCAACCATCCACTACACTCAAAACATGGTTTCCCCAGAAAAAAATAAAACTCCCACCATTGCATCACAGTAGCCCCAACAGGGTAATGTTCTAATGATTACAATGTACACAGTCCTTCTTCACAAGCCACGTCAGAAATCGGAGAAAAAGGATTTCCACATGGAAGATGTTTGACGTTAATGAAAATAACAGGTTATCTAGAAACTGGACTGATGATTTTAAGATATCAAGGGACTGGTGGTTAACTCTTAGCCTAGTACCGTTTCTTGAAGACATTCTTAGTAAGCGTTGGTCTAGGAAAATGTTTTTGTGTGTGTGTCAGCTCTTTTGGAAAGCTGCTATACACTCTGCTACAGTCGCCAGGATTTTTAATATGAAGATATGAAATGATCAGCGAATGTAACAATCTAATGATTCAGCAAATATTGTCCTGCAAGACCAGAGCAGCAATAATTAAATCTTTAGACTACTGGTGACAGTTTTCGGACTTAAAGTCTTCTTTTTATTCTACCCAGTCTGCAAACACATTTAACCAATGAACAAACACATAGGAAGCTACCTTAGTATTCCAGATAATTAGTTTGTACTACTCAAAATATTGGGCAAAACTACCAGACTGTAACGTTGTGCTTGAAGCCGAATTCCTGAACATACACACACACACTCATCTGCAGTGATATAGAGACCTGTTTAACCCCGTTCATAGATACCATGCCTGTGGGCGCTTGTTGCTAACAGCAACGTGCTTAAGTACTATCTAAAGGCATGAAGAAAGCAGGAACAATACAGTGGGAATTCAGCTGTAACCCATTGTCTCTTTTGTCATTATCAGCCTTGACTCCAGGTGTGTTTGAGAGGAGGGAGCCGGGTCCTTTTCTTAACATGTGAAAAGCATCCCTACTCTTCCACAAAGCCTTGGGAAAGATGGTAAATTTTGTTAGAGAAAACACATTTCGGAAAAAAGGAAAGACAGGAGATGCTGCTGACAATGTGAGATGCAGGCAATCACTCTACGATTTAAATTTGAGTGACTTAATGTATCTGCTTTTATCACAAAGACACATACTTGGAATTATATGGTTTCCTGCATTCTTTGGTCTAAATCCACTTGAACTGTCAGAGGAGGCGCCCACAGTGGGCACATTTACCCACCTTGGTTTTTTCCCTCTTGCTCTTATCTACTTCAGGGAACTTTCCCTGACTAGTTCTGCTCCTGCTAAAACTCCATTGGCCACTGAGAGCGGCTGAGCGTTGCCCATGCTTCATTTCCTCCAAGCAAACCTTTCTGACCAGGGTTCCCACTGGAACTCCACCTTGAATTTTCCATTTTAGCTGTAAAGAAATCCTGATTCCTTAGGAAGGTGACAGATTCCCCTAAAATATAACTGCTATCTCGACTCTTTCATCACGCCAGTGGGAAATAAACATGCGGACTTAGACACCCCCCCCCCCTCCCCACACACACACGACCTTCCTCGCACTCCTACTACCACCGTTAATCATGTATTAGTCTGGGACTTGAAGTAAAAAGGCTGAGAGAGAGAGACTCAGCAAGTTTAAAAACAAAACAAACCAACATACAACAAGCCGCCTTATTACGAAGCTATTTCACTCCGACTGAGCGGCAGCGTCTCCTTGTTAAGTAAAGCTTTGAACCTTACAATATTTTTAAAAGCTCTCTTTTCGTAAGGGCGCTAGGGACTGGGAAAGCGGTGGGATTACCCGAAAAAGCTCTGATAAAAGAAATCTAAAGGTTAGAGCCTTTCAGTTGCGCGTGAGGACTTGTCCGGCTCCCTGGCGGAAGCGGACAACTCACCAAAGTTACCAGATATTAACTCAGCAGCCTTGCGAGCTGCTAGGCTTGCAGCAGCCCCGGCGCGCTCTTTTGCTCGGACCGGCCGCCAGCCAAGCCTGAGAGGTTCCCCGGGAGACAGGCGGGCCAGGCTGCGGGCAGTGCCCTACGGCGTCATTACCATCAGTAACAGGCTACTGTGGGAAGTAACGCAACGACCACAACCACACACTGACATTCCTTTCATCCTCCCGCGGCTAAACATTTTAAAAAAAAGAAAGAAAGGAAAAGCAGGAGGTTCCTTAAAAACCCAAGAGGCGATGGAACAGCGAGCAGATCGGAACGTTCAGAGCCCACTGGCAGGCGGAGAGAACGCGCCTGTTTACATCCGGCTGCCACAGAGCCGAAAGACAGGCAGTGGAGAGGAACGGGGAATCTTACCAAATCTTAATACATGTGTAGTTCCTTGAGAATATCCAATCCACAGTAAACAGAGCAGGAGTTTAATGGTGCGCCTGAAGACTGGATTACTTAGAATAAGGGAAATAATCTTCATGGTGTTTCTGTGCCCACAAGCGTGGCACCCACTTCCCCGGTCTAGCGTTAGGCTCCCCGGTCGGGCAGGAATGAGGATGCGTTGAGTGGTGGCCGCAGACACGATCACGGCATGGTCACAGAGAGAGGAAGGAGTCTCCGCTTCCCAAACCCATTAGCAATCGCTGCATGTTCTTCACTCACTGCGCCAAGGAGCAACCTTCCACTGCAAGGGATGGCGGGACATCCATGTTAGTCGGGGAGCATCCGGGAGAAATCCAGCATGCACACCCACAATCTCCGGCCGCGCGAGCCTAGGGAAGCAGAGGAGGAGGAAAATCAATACGAAATCCGGCTGAGGTATCGATAGCAAGCCACGGTCCCAGCACAAAAGGCGCTTTGCTCGCAAAGGTTTTGCCAGGCCCTATTCTACTGCACTGCTGCACAGCTACTGACGTGAAGCCAAGATTAAGTGAGAAAAACTGAGATAGCTTGAGATAGCTGCTCGCCTCTTAAGGCTCCCTGCCAGCGAGCTTCCCAGTATCTATTATGCAATCGAACTGTTCTCCTACCTTGGGCTGCAAGAAAAAAAGCCGGGTTTATTTACGTGGAGAAAAATGCTTTTATTTTCAATAAGAATCCTTGCTTAGAAAGTGACTGGTGTGTGCAGGCAGACTTCTTACAATCAACTGATGAATTTTAATAGATGACTAGCTAAATTGAAGTCACTTTGCCAAGATGGTGTATAAAGGAAGTGGTCCAAGACAAGAATTTATTGAAAAATCTAACTTGTGTTTAGGTAGAAAGAGGGTTTTATTCATTTTTTAAAATTTTTGTCAGATATGGATATAGATTGGAATGCAATTGGGAAGGTGAATGTCGTCTCTAAAAACTTGAGTGGGACATTCCTTGATTACTACCAAGGAGTAAAGAGAAATTTCTTCAAGTGGACTTTTAGGGTGAAAAATCGAATTAAAATAAAGGAATCATATTTTCCAGCTCACCTAAAATAATTATGCACATATAAAAGACAATGTTGTTTGATTTGGTGCAGCAAACTCCGAAAGCCTCAATAATTTATGCCTGAATTTCTTCTCATATTTTAAAACTTTTTTTTCATTAAGAGGTGGAATATGAGATCATAGTCTGAGCAACACTGACTGTCCTAGCTTTGTCTGAAAATGCTTTATCATTTGCTGGTTTTCTGGTGGTAATATTTATTAGCATCCTCAGATAGTGACTGACTTGGCTTTACAAATAGCAATTTATTCAAGAAAAAGGTATAGAAATATATTTTCAACATAAAATACTTTTTATTGTTGAAAATAAGTAATATGGTATCCTTGGGTGCACAGATTTTTAAAAATGTCCAATGCCAATATTGTACATTAGGAAGTGAAACTAACACAGATAATAATAAATGTGTCACTGTCAATATTTTCAAATGATTAAATGGTGCAAAAGGCAAACTGCTGGACCTGTATCTTACAATTAATCCTGTTTTTTTTTTTTTTTAAATAACTACCTAAGAGAGTAATTTTCTCATAGGTTAAACCTTTTGGAAAAAAATAAGATCATATCCTATTTGAAAAATAACTGAATTTTTAAATAACGGGTGTTATGAGTACTATTGACTCATGTTGTATTTCCCCCACATAGCAAGAAAACACTATGTTTTCACTCCATCATAGTGATTTTTCAATTCTTATTTTTTCTAAGATATAAGAAAATGATGATTTGAAAAGAAACCTACATTTTGCAAAGACATTAAGTGGCATTGATTTTTTTTTTTTTTTAAGATGGAGGCATAACTGCAATGTCAAAAATATCATGAATGGCTAGTTCTGCAGTCTAGCTGAAAATTCAATCAAATAATTTGACTATTTGAGCACTTTAAAAGGAACACCTAGTGCTAAAACTAAGGGTATCTAGCGACTCCTTCAGTCCATGTTTAAAATATCTTTTGTAAAACATGTACAACCCAACATGTTCTGTCTTGTATTTGCTGTCTCATTTATTCCAGTCTATTTTTGATCCTAGCAGAGATTATAATGACTACCAGGGTAACTATGAATATTCTTAGTTTTTTCATCTGCCAATATAATTGGTATCCACTACTTGAAAATGGCATGTTCCGTTGTGACTAATCAAAATACAGCACTTTTGCAGTATAGCTGGCCTTTAATGGAAGCTGAGAAAACAAGGTGCACCATAATTTCTTGTTCATGTATTCTGTTAACATAATGGCATTTGACATTAGAGTTGTAACTTATCTACTAAAAAATAGCATTCTAAACCATTTAGTTTTTGTGGGGTTATTTACTGGATGTCTAGTCAGAAAAGTGAAGGATCAAGCTTTCCAGATCCATGAAGTTCTTACACAGTAAATTAAACAGTAAAGGTCTAGCATAAATTTTTCTTACTATTAATTGGTCCCCAAAGAACCAATTTTGCACAAATGCTAAATTAGGTTCATTTACATCAATCAACTAAGCTGAAAGGCGTCAACACCACAGGCAGGAACCGCACCTGTCCAATTGAACTTCGGCAAGACAGGAGACGACCTTTCTTAAGTACCGCGGACAGCGCTCTGGGCATCGATTTATTCTGGAGTAGTACATGGAAAGTAAGTAGTACATTGAATGGGTAATATGCCATTTGAAGTGACAATGTGCATATTTCTCCTCCACAGAGTCAGAGAATTTGAATTATTGAATTGTTCACATTGTCAAGAGGACTATTTTGTCAACTGCGTTGTATTTTTCAGTATGACTTACTGGAATTCCTTGACATACCTAGGATGTACTAATAGTCATGCCTTTCCAGGGCATATTACTACAAAAGCCACTTAGATTAACTGTGAGTTCCCTCATGAGCACTAAACTGCTTGTTTCTCTGTACAAAGTAATGCCCGCAACACCACCAAGAATTCAGAACACTGAATTTCATGCTATCAATATTGAATGGCTAAAGACATTTCTAAAATGTACAATTAGTTACTGCCTCTAAACTCCCCACCTCCAGATTTCCATCTGTTACAAGGGTAATCAGATTAATTCTCATTCTTTCTCATTAAACTTCACCCACTCCCCAGGACAAAACATCTAAACGGCCTCCCCAACAATACAACAAAATGGTTTTGTGGTATAGGAGATATACTAAGGCAATTCTGAAGTTGTTATAAATTTCTCCTCAATAATGATACCACATATCATAGTTCTGAGGCTATATGAAGGATTGATAAAGTCATTATACAGTATTTCACTGACCAGATTTAACTCTCTTTTGAAAATCGTTGCAATTATGTAGTTTGCTCCTTTCTTGAAGAAAAAAAAAAAACTGCTATTGGGCCTCAGATGATCATATATAATTAGTAATAGAGAAATGCATACACCTTATTCCATGGTCTCATTTGCTTTTTTCTCACTTTAACCATATGGCAACCTTTATTTCTAGAAGCCAAAGCTCTGTAGGTTCCAAGGTCAAAGCAGAAATGACAAACTGAAAACACACACATATATGCACACATAGAGAGTAGCTGTGTCTAAAAGAAAGCCTCAAAAAATAATGCAGGAAGCAGGCATGAAGGAATAGCAAGTTTATGATAAATTAAAAAAAGAGAAACATATCATGTTCATGTAAATCTTGTTCCAACCACAACAGCAAAAAGAAACCATTACCTTCATCTTTCACTGTGTTTTTATATTTGCTGACACTAATGACCTCTTATTCTTGGGCACTATTACTTGAGAAGAAATTTTAGTTTCCTATTCTCCCAGTGAAAATGAATCTTATTCTAGTTAGCTGCCACCTGCTGGGACATATACAAATGTGTAATAATCCTTATAGCACAAGCATTTAAAAAGACAATGCCTACACCTTTTTCAGGAAACAGCAAATCCATATCCCAGGACAACCTGAATATCAAAGGTGTTTCAAACATTCTTCCATGCCAGATCTATATTTAAAATTTTTCACATGAAATTCTTACTACGGATTCCACTTGACTTGTCACCTAAGTCCTGCTGTTTCGTGACATTTGAGAAACCTCATCTTACATTAACACCTGGCCTATTCTTCCATGCGTGTAGACTGTTGTATTGCAGCTTAGCTAAAATAAACAGCCTACCCATCTGTGGCATTAAAGGTGCCAGAGAATAAAGTCAGAGCTGATATTAGTTAAGATCACACTGTTGCATACTTGCACTTCACTCTCCCTAACTATGAATGCTATGCCGTCCTTTGTGATTCTAAACACATATCAGCTATTCCACCAACATTCTGCTGCATTGATGATTAATGACATTTAGAGTTTTAATTATTTTTAGATGTTCAAAAAAAGTGGATCTTAATTAAGAAATTGAATTGGAATAGATTTATATGTCTGAAACTTTCTTTTTTTTAACTTCAACCTATGTAATATTCAATGAGTTTAAACAGAAGAAAACAAACAGGTAAGCCTTCTAGGCATCACTCATTTTTCTGCTACCTTCCTTCTCTGTGCTTCTTGTTTGTTTAAAAAGTATCTGTGGCCACTGGGAGGAAGTTGATAGCTGCCTTGGTGGTTACAGGAATGGGCTCTATGAAAAATTGTAAGCTAATGAACACAGATAAATCAAGATTGAAATATTATTTCGTATCTTTCAGCAACTTATAAACTATAAACTACCGACTAAGATTCAAATGAATCAATCATCTGTTATGAAATGAAAATAATAATTCATAAGGTAATTTTTGATGACAGAATACTTACAGTACGGAGATGAGGAAAACGATAGCAGATAATCTGTGCGTACCAAAAGGATAATAGTAGTAATTTTTCTAATATCTCCTATTCCCTAAATTGGAAATTGTTATCTAAGGAGCCTCAACTCAGTCGTGTTGTTTGGTAAAGAAACCCTATCTCGTTGAAGGTAAAATATCAGGGGAAGAGGGTGGTTAAAAGTTCTTGAGGTTTATGATCCACTCTGGTGATAACTCCCCCACCACACACACACACACACTTTTACCCTAATGGGATGCTCTCTGAGTTTTTTTAGGAGCTCTCAATACTGGCGCCGGTTGACCTGAATGTTTGTACCTCCTCAGCACAGACTAAGGAGCAGGACTGACGGAAGGGTGGGTGGATAGGGGGAAGGCTGGGGAGTCCGACCTGCAAACAAGACACAGCTTCTTGCCATCTATTTCACTCTCTTCACCTCGCCTAAGTCCCAGTCGCTGAGGCCACTTCCTGACACGTCCACTCATTAAATTATTTTATGTGGAGAACTCGAGCGCCTACAACAAACCGAGCCAGTTACATCCTTGACGGGAATTGGCGGAGGTGAGCGGGACAAAGCCACTCGCAGCGAATCGGTCCTGCATGTGCTCGGAACGCATCGGGCTCCGCCGCGCTGCTGGTCGCCTTCTTCCTTCACTCCAGGGGAAAAATGCCCCTTGCCCACCCCCGTTCCCTTCCGTCCTCAAGGAAACAAACACCTCAGGAGGGAGCTG